ATTATTAACAAATGATGAGGGCAGGTGGATCTTCCTTGATACTTTTAGGCATTCGTAAAGGCAGATGTCACAGCCAAAAAGGCCCTGCTGTGTGTCATCATTTTTTCAGGGTAAAAATGGAAGGTTAGGTGGAAGGGAGACAGGGTGGATAAAAACCAACAAACCAACCCAAAAACTAGATTTTAAAAATTTAAATCACATTTTTAAAAATAAAATGCTATTTAAGTTACATTATAGTCCAAATGTTTACATTTTTTTTTGTAAATGAATTATCCAGAGGTTTCTGTAAAATTATTTCGGGCAGTTTTTCTAACAAGAAGATATCACAGATGCTTGTTTTTGCAATTCTCAAAAGTGTGAATTTGTGTCTGCAGAGATAACATGCCTTTTCTTCCTAGAAAAAATGTTATAAAATAAACATCCAGAGTTTGCAAATTTATATACCCAGAATCAATCCCTTACCTCTTAAGTGCTAAGCTCCAAGAGTTTCAATGAATAGATTGTTTGGAGTGGAATAGATTTGCACGAGTAGCTAAGTGTGAAGCAGTGAAAATGAAAGTGCAACCTTGTGAGCAGAATACTCCACAAGTCTTGGTATCTTTGTGCAATAATTGTGCAAGTCAGTTGCATGTCTGTTCAAGTCAGACTTGAGGCAAGTGCTGAAGGCTCTTCAGGGCTGGCAACCTCTTCCCAATCCCACTGGGTCCCAACAACTGCACTATCACTTAACTGTACAGAACACACCTGAATGTAGAAGCAAATCCCAAAGGGTGGTGGAGGAAATAGTACCTGGAATCTGTAAGTCTTTGGCGAGACCTTGAAGTGCTTGCCAGTCAGCTAATAAGAGTTCACAGTTAACTTATTAAACCTCACAATAATTTCATAATTATCTGTCTGTGTATTTCTAATAGCATAACCAAATCAGTGATTTTTGATATAACTGTAAAAACTACTCTGAAAATTTATTATTCCAAAAACGAAACCTTCATCTGGTTGTAAATATTAAGATTATACCAGCAAGAATGAGTCTTTCTGTAAAAAAGTGATTTAAATCAAGTCTTCCTGACTAGTGATTTAAATCAAATCCACCCGGGACGGAGAATTGACATACATTCAAGACTCTTCAGCTGAAAAAGTCTTCCAAAGTGGTTTACAGTGATTGATAAGAAGGCAGTCTTCTCCCTCAGGCTCACAATCTTAAGACACACAACAAAAGGGAAACGGACTGGAAGGGATAATGAAAAAAGTCGGCTCAGGCACTCGTTCTTAGTTACAGAGGTAAAAATGTAAAGGTAAAGGACCCCTGGACAGTTAAGTCCAGTCAATGGTGACTATGGGGTTGCGGCGCTCATCTTGCTTTCAGGCTGAAGGAGCCAGCGTTTGTCTAGTTCAGGGGTCGGCAACCTAAGGCCCATGGGCCACAAGCGGCCCATGGCAGTCGTTTAACCGGCCCATGAACCCCCACCGCCCACTCGGTTGGCTCCCATGCGGCGCGCTAAACTGGCGCAGAGCAGAGTGGGGACCACCTTCCGCGATGCTGGCCAGCTTCCCACTGGCTGAAGGAAGCTCCTGCAGCCAATGGGAAGCTGCGCACGCCTCCTCCGCGCCGGAAATAGCGTTTGTGCATGCACTCGCGCACACCCGGCCCACCACAGCGTCTGCAGGATCGTGAATTGGCCCAAGCCACAAAAACTTTGCTGTCCCCTGGTCTAGTTACAGAGACCTTGTAGTCAGCAGGAGTAAAACGATTTGGAGAGGAGCCAAAAGTTTGTGGTCTTGCAGCAGAAGCGAGGAGGAGGTCCTGCAGTGCTGCTGCCCCATCAGTCTGATGGAATGGAATCTGTTGTGCTGTTATTAGATCCTTTTGGAGATCCTTTTGGAACTCTTCAGAGTCTGTCTTCATATTATCACCTCAAAACAACCTGGTATTATCAGCGCACTTGGCTGCCTCACTTCTCACCCCCAGCTTTAAGTTGTTCGTGAACAAGTTAAGCACGGCTCTCAGTACTGATCCTTGGGGTTGGACTCCTTGCCTGCAAAAGTTAGTTCAGGTGCAGCAATCTGCTCTGCACCTTCTGCTGTGAAGACAGATGCAAATAATTCATTTGGCTTTTCTGCAATCTCCTTATCCTCCCTCAGCACACCTTTGACTCATTGTGATCCAAGGGTTAAACTGCCTCCTCCTACCCAAAAAAGTGGGCAGGTAGGAGAGAATAATAAGAGGTGTTTTTGTTTGTTTTTGCTTTTTAGTGTTTCCCAAATTTTCCAGGTTTTCCTTGGGGAATAATTGAAATAATCCTCAGGAAAATTCAAGAAAACTTTCCCCATTTTCAGATTTGTGTTTTCCCCCTTCTGGGCCCTTCACGTCTCACCTTCTGCAGAGACTGGCTTTGCTGTCTTTAAAATGACAGAAAATGAAAAACTCGGCACCTTGTCTCTTCCAGCATCAGGCTGCCCTTTCCCTCCAGACTCTTGAATCTTGGCTTTTTCAGAAGGCAAATAAGTGGACAGTAAGACCCTGGTTATTGTTGGCTTTTGGTATTGAGTGATCTAAGGCCATGTGCGTACTAAAACTTTGTACAGCACCTCATTATTTTAGGCACTTCGTGTAGCAAATGGTATTTATTTCCACTTGAGTCAGTGGTGTTCTGATCCTTTCAAGCTGGAGCCTCTTGTGTGGATAAGCCCACATCTGGTGTTTGGAGTGACTAGGAAGGGTCTGGTGGAGATGTGGGGGATGTGTGACCTTGCGCTTGGGGGCAATGTGCCAAGTGATCCTTTTGCTAGCGGTGGCTCCAGAGATGGGGCTCTTGTAGCAGTCCCTCACCCAGGACAGGCAACCTTGGAGAGGGGCAGGGTTGCATGTGAGCAGGGCTTTGGCAGTCGGTGCATCCTTCTCTGCTGCATTTTTGGGTGGTCCGAGATGCCGTCCTCTTGCTCTGGAGCTAGCACGCTTTTGTTGCAGGGTTGTGATTTGTCTACAGCTGGTCTGGTTTGGTTCCCACCTACCCTAGTATTGGCATTAGCTGGTTTTGTTCTCCCACCATATGGAATTGTCTTAAAAAGAAGATGACTCAGTGGCAGGGCTTTTTCCTGCCATGAAAGAAAATCCAGTTGTAAAAAGCCTTTCACTATTTTATATCACTCTGCCAGATTGAAATCTCTCTCTCTCTCTTTGTCTCCTGTAGAGACTATTATATTTTGATAATAAAATTCCTGCTATGTGAGACAGAGAAGTCGTGTCATCTTGCTCAGTAAAAATGGTTGCATGCTTTTCGCATAGCCAGAGGTTGAAATATTGCTCCTGCTGGGCAGCTTCTAGTCTTGAGGCAATTCTGAGCTGGGGTGGCTATTGTCAAGCTGGAGTTCCTGGGCAGCCCTTTGGCTCAAGGGAGCATGCAGGAGGGAAGGGAAGTTTCTCAAAGGAAGGGAAATGTGGTTAAGAGAAAACAAAAATTACAGTCAAAAATCGGTTGTCGAACGTAATCTGTTCCAGAAGCCCGGTTGGCTTCTGAAAGGTTTGAAAACTGAGGCACGGCTTCCGATTGGCTGCAGGAACTTCGTGCACTCAAGCAGAAGCCTCATCGGATGTTTGATTTCCAAAAAACATTCAAAAACCAGAACACTTCGGAGTTTTCGGCGTTTGGGAGCTGAAATGTTCCAAAATGGAGGCGTTTGGGAACTGAGATTTGACTGTATATGGAGAAAGCAGAGGGCAAGAGGAGGCCTGTGGCCACCTGCAGTGCATCAAGAGATGTGCTGTTTGTGGGCACTTCTCAGTGCCTTGCTCCGACTCCCTTCTGCCTTCTGTCTTTGCATCTCCAAAGAGAAGGCATGCCAGTTCTGGATAAGAGAGCCCCAGTTAGCTATTGCCTTGGCCAGTGCACTCAAGTAAATCTCAAGGTTTTAGCTTATCCGTTCTTCACATGGGGACACACTGAGCAGGCCACAGGCACTGTTGGGTCCCTCACTTCATAGGTCTTTCCCTAGTCTGCCTTGGAGCTAAGAAACTTGGCTCCTGTGTATGTAGCTGAAACGCTGGGGCTGCCGTGCTATCCAATGGGGTTGGCACCAGTTAAGGAATGTTGGGTGAGTCAGCCACACATTCTTGCCGGCTGCCTTGCCTCTCTGTCCTCCCCTCTCACTCCACCCTCCAGCTCTTGGGATCTCTGTGGCTGAGCTAGGAAGAAGGCAGCCTGGCTACTGAGGCAGTTAAGATCAGCAGATGCCACACAGTCTTCCAGCCATTGACATGGGCTGCCTTTTTTGCCTCATCTCTCTGCCCACTTTGCCATAGTTACAGCAGGTGGGTTTTTGCATCTGGCAGGCCTACGATACTTGCTCAGCTCCCCCTGCAAATCTGTGGTCAACCCTGTGCCTGTGTGGATTTCTCTAAGGGCTTTGGCTCAGGGAGTTCCTCAGGTTTAGTATACTAAACAAGCCACACTGGTGTTCTGTACAGGCCTCCTGAAGAATCCTATTGGTCAAATCTTCTTATGGACCAATAGTAGTGTAGAAATAGGAAAGTTTTGCAAGGGGGTAATGGAAAAATTGAACCCCTCCCCCCAAAAAAACCATTCTTCTGGGGTTTTTTCCCGGCGTTGACATTTCGAGAGTGATGTGTGAGCAACCACACCCATTGTAAAGGGTGTAAAAATCCACTTGTCAGGTGACTAAGCCCAGTGTACCCCACCCCTTCTGCTTCCCAGACTTCCCAGTTTCTCATGATTGAATGCCATGATCAGTGATTACCTGCAACCACTGTGGGCTTTTATGTTTTGCCCTTGTGTGCATTTAAGTGGCTGCCATGTGGTTCTTGATTGCCTGAATCTGGCCCCTATTTCTACTGGCTGAAAGCATAGCCCTGTTTTCACATCCGTCGGTGCCTGAAGGGCGACACCTCCGTCTGGGGTTGCCAGCCATGGGGGCCAGGCCAGCCGCTTGAGGTCAGTGGCAATGCTGCCGCACAGCCTTGCTCATCTCTCTTTCTGTTGTTGCAGAGTGGAAACAGCTTCCATGTCTTCGACCAAGGCCAGTTTGCCAAGGAAGTCCTTCCTAAATACTTCAAACACAACAACATGGCCAGCTTTGTCCGGCAGCTGAACATGTGTAAGTATATTCTCTGTTTGGTGCACAGTTTGTGCGCTTGACTTCAGAAGTCTCTTGCGAGGGGCTTGCCTGAAGGTAGGGTTAGGGCACCTTGGCAGTTTGTCAGAACAAGAGCTGCAGGACTTGTGGGCAAAAGTGCTGGGGCTTCTCAGACTGGCCTAGTAGCTTCTTCAGGTGTAGTGAAGAAAAGAGCGACGTCCTCTTCTGCCGTACGGCGGATCATCTTGGCAAAATTAGGTTAGGATCAAATGTTTGGCACTGTTAACATAGAATTGGCATTGTCTACGAAAAGTGTTGGGTTAAAGAAAAGGTTGAGTACCAGGCCTGCAAGCAGGACTACAAGGGGCCTGTCATGGAGGAGCTTGTGCCTCCTTACGTGGGACTCAAACAGGAGGTAGAAGGTTCATGGAGACTATGACTGTGAACAGCTAATGGCTCTAAATGTGAAAAACGAGAACTCCATCTTCAAAGAGGGCGTATTCTGAGTTCTAAGCAGGAACGTCCATCACTGCTTGTGGCCAGCCAGGTGCCTCGGGGGAGACGAGTTTGGACTAGGTGAACCGTGCTCAGCTCTAGCAAGGCAATTTGTGTTTCCTCCTCCTGGAACACCTGCCTTGCATTTTGGGAGCTGAGATCATTCGCTGATGTGCTATTTTGTATGATTCACTTTGGAAAGTTGGCTCAGGAAAATGACAGCATTAAGCAACCTGCAGACTCAGCAGATACTACTTTCTGGTTCTGATGCTGGGGGAAAGCAGAGTCTGGGAGTTGGGAGGTCCAGTTGCCCTACAGGCGTACGCTGCATGTGAAATGCAGGCTGGCTTCCCCTTCATTCCCCTGACCTTCTTGCCAACCTGCTCTGCTCCTTTGCCTTCCAGATGGCTTCCGGAAAGTAATCCACATCGAGCAGGGCGGTCTGGTGAAGCCCGAGAAGGATGACACTGAATTCCAGCACCACTACTTCCTCCGCGGCCAAGAACATCTCCTGGAGAACATCAAGAGGAAAGTAACCAATGTGAGTCCTCCGTAACAGTCGCTGGCCCAGATTCAAAGGAGCTTTTGAGGAACTGATGGAACGGGATGGAAACAGCACTGTTTTCAGCCATTAGCTGCCTTGGTGCTTCAGGATAGTGCAGAGAGCAGATTTCTGCTTCTTCCTTCTCAATGTTTTTGGCTTTTGCCTTGTCTTGTCTGAACTGTGGTTCAGATCACCCAATTTGAGGTGGCCTGTGATAAGCACCTGGGTGGGTGAGTGTGTGCGCATGCATAAGTGAGCTCACAGAAGAATATGAACTTGCCAACGCACCACCTCCTCCTGTGTGCTTCTGTGTATGGCAGGAGGCCCTGGCAATCTCTCCTCTTGTTGAACTTTTCTTTTTGCACTGCTTGCCTTGCTGAGCAGCCTGGAAGTCCCTGGCTCAGCTGAAGCCATCTTGTAGGCTAGGATGTCTTGCATATCATGTCACGTTAATCAGTGCACCTCTCTTGCATTGAGAATGCTCCCTAAATAAGCCTGTCTGTAAATTCTGCAGTCTGATGGCTGTCCTCATGTCTCTTCAGTCTCTGCTTATCTGTAGTGCTGCTTGTTCATGTAAACTGTTCACCAGAAGCAACAAAACCGTGTTCCCAAAATTGGTTCATGAAAGCAGCAAATAGCTTTCTCTCTGAAACTGAGATTAGCGGTTCTCCTAACTGAGGAGAAGGCAGAAGCTACACAGAACCCTTACCTATGTGCCCCTGTTTCCATACTCTGACTGCCCTGCCCCCCACTGTTCAAACTTGCTTGTTTCTGTTTTTACTTCCCTGAGCCATGCCATGCCATGCTTGAGGGTGTCTTTTTAACAGTCATGTGTGTGTCTGTGTGTGTTTGTGTGTGTGTAAAATTGCAGTACACACACACACACACAGAGAGAGAGAGAGAATTCAGAAGCACATCATTCTTTCATGCAGTAGCCCAGGTTGGATAGCAGAGTGGCAGTGCATGCTGGGAAGCACAATCAAATAAAAGTACACTTCAGTGAACTGGTGTGCTTGCCTGCTGTGCTGGCAAATGGGTGATCCTACCACCTTTTGAGATGGGCAAAGGAACCGCCTTTGCCAAGGCGTGCATTTTATATGGCATTGGTCTTCAGCAGCTTTGTTGGACTCTGACTGCCGCTCTCTTTGAGAAGAGGCAGTGCACACCCTGTCTGTGATGCTCAGCCAGCTATTTTCTCGTTTGGAAGCCATGAAGAGCCATAAGTAAGAAATCTTCCTCTGCCCGCAGGTATCTGGCATAAAGAATGAAGATATCAAGGTTCGCCAGGACAGCGTGACAAAGATATTGACTGATGTCCAGGCAATGAAGGGCAAGCAGGAGAGCATGGACTCCAAGCTGATAGCCATGAAGCAGTATGTACAATGCAAGGGGGGGAGGGGTATTCTGGGTTTGGGAGGGGGAGTCTACCTTGCTCTGTGTTCTAGCCCCCTCTGCTGGCAGGTAGCATAATATGCTAACCTCCTGATTGCTGCAGGAATTGAACTCACTCCTTAGCAAACTTTCTTGCCCTGTGATGGACTGCCGTGTTTTTGTCTTCAATTCTCTCACCCAGCATGTTGAATTTGCAATGCTAACGTTGTCTCTTCCATCTAGGGTGGTGTATCACCCATTAGCCGCCAGGGTAGCGTTAATAATAGCAAAGCAACTATTGATGCACCCATAGCACAGTTGAAATGACAAGCGGCAACCACAGTTATTAAACTAGTTAGCAGCCCTTCTGACATGTCCTTGCTGTGTAACTTGCAGCACTTTACCATGTGGACTTTGCCCTGTTATTGATCATTTTTCTTCTTGTATGGTAGTGCCCTTGTTAAGAGAAGAATAAATACTAATTTTTAAAAATTACATTGGCAGCTAAGATTAAATTTTTTTACAAATTAAACTCTTGGTGGAACAGTGCTGCTTTATTTTGGCACTGATGGATAGAGGCACAGGCTGGTTCCAGCTTGGGAAAGGCCTTCTTTTAGTTGTGAAGGGCAGGGGAAAGGCATCTGCACTCAGCATGTCCTGCTTGTGGGCTTCTGTTTTCTGTTTGGCCACTGCGAGAACAGGATGTGGGACAAGATGAGGAGCCCCCTTCGCCCTGATCCAGCCCCAGGGCTCGTATGCGCTCCACTTGGAGTTTACAGAGCAGGGAGTTTCTTGCATGTGTGGGACAACTGCTTAACGTTTGCTTATCCCAGGGTATTGAGGACTTGAAAAATTTGCCTTGCCTTCTCTCCAGGCACAGGTGGAAGGTGAGGCATGCAGTGAGCCGCTGGCGGTTGGCAGTTTGCATTCTGGCTCAGTTGTAGGGGAGACCCAGGAAGGAGTGTCTGACGCGTTCCCTTGGGGAGTGGAGCCTCTAAAGGAGAGCTTAGCTTGCACCAGAATTCCCCAGAGCACCTTTTCCTGCACCCACACATTTGAGAACTTAAAGGAAAGAGTTCTGGAGCCCAGGGGACATTTCTTTAGGCTGGTTTGATGGCCAGCACTCCGTTCAGCAATGAAGCCCCGCTGTAAATCATCTGCAGCTGCAGAGGATGGCTCATATCGGTGGGTTGGGGCATGAAGGCAAAGGCTTGCAAATCCCACTTTTCCTGGAAGATTAGTCAGTGGCTTGAAGCAGCAACCCCTTCCTGTTTTATGGCTGCTGTGGTGCCCCTCCTGGCAGCTTTGGGCCCAGCTGTTCTCTTGCCAGGACAGGAACCCTGATCCCTCCAGCCGTAAACAGCTTGACTCCTCGCCCATGAAATGTGGAGCTTGATGACCACTCGGTCTCTTGAGTCATCCAGCCTTGCGGCTTTCTGCTGGGGCTTTTGCCATTCTGAATGGTTGCTGGCCAAGGTCAGGTTTTGCCAAGCTGCCTGAAACCGCTTACAGAAGGGAGGGTATTCCAGGCGGACTTGTTGCCTGGCTGTGCCCTAGAGTTCCTCTTCAAGCCCAGAGACCAGGCCTGCATGCTTCTTGCCTGCCCACAGCGGTGCTGCACAGGGTCATGGTGTGGTGAAGCTTGGCCTCCCTGTCTTGGTTAGACTGTGGTGTCTGGGAATTAAAGGCTTCAGTACCACCTCCCTATCTGGCAGAAGACAGAAGCCCAATGGTGCCTTTTCGGAACCTCATTCTCCTTGGTGTAGACCCAGGGGTGATTCAGCTCCACGGTGATTTTGTTCCTGCTCCACCAAGACTGCCAATTTTGACAATAACTGCAAAAAAGGGAAAACAATATTTCAAAGTAGACTCAGTGCTGGGTTTGGCAACTCGCCTCCTCCCCTCATCATCAGTTTGAGGCTGTGATGAGTGGGCAAGGGAAGAGGGGAGTGAGTTGCCAAACCCCTTCTCATCTGTGCAGGAGGGACAGTGTGTGTGCCGGTGTGTTTCTGCCCGCGTGTGTCTTGTTTGTATATGGTCCTCATGTAGACAAGGAAATGGCTGACTTAAGAGATCAAAAAGCTGAGGGGGTGCTTTCTGCTGTCCGTAGAGGGCACAAAGCCTACTTGCTTAAGCATAAGCTCTGACGTTCTTGAGGAGCCAGTAGTGTGAAGGTTTGTTAGCTGTGCTTCATCTTGGGCCTCCCCTCTGGCCAGTCCAGGGTTGTAGCAAACTCTCACGGGCCCCAAAGAGACAAGCCTTCCCAGGGCAGCTTCCTGGGCTGATTATGCTTAGCTTCTGCAGGGCGTGCAGAACTACTGACCGCTGCTGTGGCCTGCGCAGGCCAAGCCAATTGCCGGGAGCATCTTGTTCTCACTGTGCAAAATTACAGTGCCCCGGAAGAAGGGAGGGGTAAGGACAATGCCTACAGTGGCCTTCTTGAGTTTAGTGATCCCAAACTTGAAGGGTCTAAACGCAAGATCCACATAGGAAGACTGGCCCTCTTTTTTGTTAAAGTATTGTAACACCATCAGTTCAAGTGGCACCTCATGGAGTACAAAACAGAAGACTGGTCCCTCATTAGCCCCCCCTAAAAAAGATCACTGTCTTTGGTTGGGAGGTAAGGCTGGCCTAATGTGGGATGGCTGTGAGCAAGTCCACCTCCACATAGCTGGCCTTCTTTTTGGTATGTCCCACGGAGGAGCTTACGATCTTCAAACAAAAACATCTCGGAGGTCCCAGGCCACAGGGAGGTTAGGCTGGCCTCAACCAGAGCCAGGGCTTTTTCGGCTGTGGCCCCGATCTGGTGGAACGCTCTGTCACAAGAGACTAGGGCCCTGCGGGACTTGACATCTTTCCGCAGGGCCTGCAAGACTGAGCTGTTCCACCAGGCCTTTGGCCAAGGCATAGCCTGACCCCCTCCTTTGGTAATTCTTCACAGAACTCTAGCCCCATGGTTGCCATCAATTTGATTTGAACTGATTTTATAATGAACTGATTTTAGAATGCTGTATTATTTTACTGTTGTTAGCCGTTCTGAGCCCAGCTTCGGCTGGGGAGGGTGGGATATTTATAAATTATTATTATTATTATTATTATTGTTGTTGTTGTTGTTGTTGTTGTTGTTATGAAAATTGGTAGCCCCATGTTTTGGCGTGCATCTGAAGAGCTTAGGTGCTGCATCCGACCAGTGGGCCCTTTGGGGAGACCACAAGCAGGACATGAGCATAAGAGCACTCTGATGTTTCTCAGCGTGGCATTTAAAGCGCTGGATGTTAAAAAAAAGGGGGGGGTTGAGGAGTTCTGAAGGAATAAAGTGTTTGTAGTGAAAGGTTGGATGGGTAAATGCAAGAGGCCATTTTGGCCCAGGGGGGCTTTTAGAGCCCTGGCTTCGAATCCTGCCCTGACTGCGAAAGGGAATGTTTTTATTGTCTGCCTCCCTTGCACGCTTGTAAAGGCCGATGGGCCTGCACCTTGTGGTGCATAGTGCTGTATAGGAGATGTTAATGTTTAATAACTAGCCAGTCCCTCCAAAGCCAGAACAACACTTAGGGGGCTGCTGTGGGGAAGGCAGGTGGGCTTTGGGGGCCCAAGCTTGGCAGTGCTTTGCTTTGGAAAATCTCCCTCTCGGCCTTTGAGAGCGTCAGCTTCCGCTGGCCTCTCTTTCCCCTTCCTATGTTTTCATTTGTTTTCAATCCCTAACCACCTCCTAAAAATGGAATCTGTGAGCCAGAAGCTTCCTTTCAGGGATTTTTTTTAAAAGTTTGGAGCGGTTGTGGTTTTGAACCTGATAGCTGCCTTTAAAAAGCTGCTGTTGGCTCTTTTATCACGAGACGTGTGGCTCCTGAGCTTGATGTCTCCTAGGTGAGCCTAGCAAACGCTTCCTGGGGGTTTGGGAAGCCAGACTCATGTCAAATGCAGGACTAATGGCCTTAGGCCTGGTTCCAGATCCCACATCCAGCTGGGCTGAGGCTGAGGCTGTGATGAGGGAAATGGCACCAGGTGAGTCGCGTGCGCTCTGCTTTGGTCCTCTTGGCTGTGGAACCATCCTTGCAGTGGTGGGGCAGCACCTGACACTCAAAGTACGGCATCGGGGTGGGGCATTTCTGGTGACTCTCAAGATGCTGCTGGACTCCGACTCCCAGCATGCTCCCTGACAGTTGGCCAGGCTGACCGGGACCAATGGTGTGGCCTGGAGCCAATCAGCGTTTAGAGGGCGGCCATCCCTGTGCTATGGACATTAACCCATTTATTCTGGCCTTTAGTGGAAAGTAAATCCACATATCACTACGATTATGCAACATGTTTATGGCCTGCCTGGAAATTGCTAGTTAGTGTATGACTGTTTTGCTTGTTGGCTTGATATAAATGGTATCATTTATGTTATTGTAACCAGCCCTGGGGTCTCCTGCTGAGGGGCGGGGTGGTGATAGCAGCAGCAGCCTCTACCAAACTTCCAGTATAATAGTCAGGGTGGATTTGATTTAAATCACAATTTAAATCACTAGTCAGTAAGACTTGATTTAAATCACTAGTCAGTAAGACTTGATTTAAATATATATATTTTTACAGAAAGACTCATTCTTGCTGGTATAATCTTAACATTTACAACCAGATGAAGGCTTCATTTTTGGAAAAATAAATTTTCAGAGTAGTTTTTGCAGTTATATCAAAAATCACTGATTTGGTTATACTACTAGAAATACATAAACAGATAATTATGAAATTCATTGTTAGGTTTAATAACTGTGAACTCTTATAGTTGACTGGCAAGCACTTCAAGGTCTCGCCAAAGACTTAACAGATTTAGTAAGTTAACTGTTTATATTTGGGCAACTTTTCCTGCTGCACTTTATTGGAAGGAGAAAAATAATAATTTCCTTAATAACAATTTAAACAATTTATTTACCTAAAACAATAGCATTATAGCATATGTATCCATGTTTGTTAACTGATGTGGTTAAACATTTTTTTTAAAAAAAAGAACTTGGACTGAGTTTTA